GCAGAAGCCACGTGATTTACAGGAAGACTTGAGCTGATTGGGATACATGTAGATTTTAATTGTGGTTGAATAAATAAAATTGTGCGTCCATTGCGAGGTGCCCTGGAGATAGCAGTATGCTCAATAGATTCTTGAATATATTTCCGTGCGAAGTGGTGAGTGTTATCCCATGGGATGCACTTGGGCTTTCTCTGGAGTATACAGCTTTTTTTGTCCCAGGTACCAAACACTCAGACGGGCAATCGTCCAAACACAATTCCACCACAGGGACACTGCGAATGACGACGGTTATGGCTCTCAACGCGGAAACCCTCACACCTACACCTAGATAATTATAATTTAAATTTGCGTCTGATCATTGCGAGGTACCCATGAGATGGCGGGATCGCGAGAAAAAGGCTACCGCGAGAGCATCGGGTGCATCTCGGATTTGCACGGTTTGGCTCGGTACGGTACGAAAGAATGTTGATTTAAAGCTTTCGTGACTGCAGTGATTCATATTCTTGGTTCTTTCGGTAAAGTCACGTTGAAGGGAAACAATAAAATAATATATATAAAACAATTAAATTCTCACGACGTTTCGACTGCAACACAAGCAGTCGTCATCAGGTGTGAAAACCAACGGCAAGAAACATTTGAAAGAAGTGGCGGTTTGTATTTATTTATTTTTAAACAGTAGCACCACGGATAGCGATTTGACAGTTTGTTTAGATGGACAAGTCCATCTATGTTCGGAAAAGAGGAGGGGGGATACGAAAAAATTAATATCTGCTGTCTGAAAGCCACCGTAAGCGTGAACAATCAATATAGACCCGAAATTGTTTATCAAATCCTTCCAATGATTGCTAAGCCATAATCCATCTTCTCGGTTTAAATTGTCTCTCTGTTTGTATATGTGGATAGCCTCATGAACGAATCTCTCATGGTAGCCAGATGGCTTGCAAATAACCTCTGTCTTGGAGAAGTCAATGTCATGTGAGCCTACTGAATTATAACAGTGATCTGCCACGGCCGAGGTGTTGGTCCTACCGTGTTTTAGGTCTGCTTTGTGTTCACGAATGCGGTCCGAGACATGTCGTTTGGTTTCTCCAATGTAACTACTACCACAGAGGCAACTTAGTTTGTAGACGCCAGGGTACTGTATGTCCGGAATCACATCTTTTACAGACGGAACCAGATCACGGATTTTATGTAATGTGTTGAAACGGACCTGGATCTTGTGTTTATTCAAGATTTTGGAGATATTTTTTGTGATCCCAGCAATGTAGGGTAAAGTGATGGTTTTGAAAGAAGTTCAACATACGATGCTGCTGCACAGAGGATCAGCGTCTGTTATCACAGCGGGCGGCGGGGAGAGGGGACGCACTCGGCGGTGTGACACAGAAGTCCACGTGTTTCACGGGAGGAGGGCCTCAGCTGATTGTCGTGCTTTGAAGACAAACAACAACGAGATGAGTGGAGCGGGCTGCCAACTAAATTATTCCCGGAACATGCTGTCCCGGCCCCCAAATGTGTATCGCTCTCATTTTTTTCAAATGCGACAACAATATTAATAATCGTAAACAACAAACAAACAACAACAACAATGTTCCTGAATATATTATCAGAGTCCGCCAATTGTGCGGCGGGAAGAACCCTCAACGGAAGTGTGCGTGTAAATATGGCATCACTTCGTGAAGCAAGATCGGATCACGTGTGCACCCTTTATGACGTTTTATTGTCAAGAGGCCCTCCAATAAAGGTGAAACATTTACTGCCTGCACTGTAGCTTATTGTACACTCCCTGAGGTGTTTCTTCACCTGCGTGTCGATATCCTGTATGCAGGGTGTGTGTGTGTGTGTATGTGTGTGTCTTCCTCGTTTCGATTCCCACTCACGGGCAACACCGGTGACGATAAGTTTGAACCGGTCCCGGGCCTCCCCTAAGGTCAACTCAGCCTCAAATGAGTACCTGGTGCGGTGTGTAAACATCGCTACTGGGGATACAAAGGCGGTCGGGCGTGGTGCCAGTCGCCCAACCCCTCGTGTGCCGCTCCGGCCTTCATAGGTGCTCGCCAACAGCACTTGCCCCTACAGTCTGTTACAGGCTATACGGGGGATCTTTGTCTTCGTGTCTTCCTCGATTCGACTCCCGCTCACGGTGGCCACCAACACCCAGTGACGATGATCCGAACCGGTTGCTGGGCCTCCACCCTAGGTCGGCTCAGCCTCAAACGAGTACCTCGCGCGACGTGCGAACATCCACCGCCACGAGGGGAGAATAAAAGTGGCCGAGCGCGGGTGTCAACCTTCCCCCCCCCCCAACCCACCCTCTTCCGTGGCACGTGCCGGGCTTCGTAGGTGCTACTTGCTGACAGCACTTGCCCCAAAAAGTATTGCTGAGGCTATACGGGGGATCTTTGTCTCGTCGTCTCGTTGCGCGGTCACGGTGGCGTCGTTAGGCAGTCTCCTTGAGTTGACCAGCGGGATGAGATCGACCTCGCCGAGACGTTTGCGTCGACGGCATTGCCTCTGTTGCGAGCGCGACCTGGCGGTTTTTTTTTGTTGGCCATTCGTTTTAAAAGCAAACGCAGGATGGTGAAAATGTGTTTTTTTTTTGTAAAATCCAACATTTTACGGCGCAAAGCCGCAAGGATTTGCATGACATTTACGTGACCCTTTAAAGGAGGAGTTAAAAGTGGCAGTTTTTTTTGTAGCGTCCCCATAAGTTGCGCGACGTCCCTACACGGCTGAGTGAGTGAGTGTGTGCGTGCGTCGGGCGTGTGTGTGTGTGTGCGTTAGGCGCGCGTGTGTATGTTTGTGTGTGTCAATCTCTGTTAGCTGTGATGGCCACAGCAACTACCCGTGTGTCTCGCAGGCCTTCATAGCTACTAGCTAACACTACTTGCCCCAGCAGTCTGCCCATGGCTTCAACGGGGCAGCTTTGTCTTTGTGTTGGTCCGAGGAGGCTGCTCCCTTGCCCCAGCAGTCTGCCCTAGGCTATACGGGGGAGCTATGTCTTTGTCTGAGTAAGGTGCTCACTAGCCCCAGCCGTCCGTGTGGTGGCTATGCCTGCAGCGGGTTTTATTTTATGTCCGTGATTGTGTTTGAGGGTGTGTGGGTAACGTGAAGGAAGCTGCTACTGGGCAGTTGGAGGCAGTCGACCTCTAACAACAACTAGGGCACAGGAGCGGCGCTCACAACAACGAGCGGAGCGCCGGGCGATTAAATTACAGCAAGTTGGCACGGTAGGGGGCACAAGCTGGTGGTGCATCTACCGGTCGTCTCAGTCAGCAAACCCATGGCAGCTGGGTCCGTCCCGAGACCTCCTATCAGCGATCCTTCGACACTGCGTGTGGCCTAAAAGTGCACCTGGCCTGGCACAGGAGCCGTGGTGACGTCGCCGTCACTTAGTGGCGAATGGCGGCTGTGTGTTGGTGTTGGTGGAGAGCGATCGTGCAGCGGTTAGCACGGTGCGCTACGAACCTGTCGACCGGAGTTCGATTCCCGCTCGCGGCCACCAACATCGATGACGATTATTTGAACAGGTCATGGGCCTGCCCTAGGTCGACTCCGCCTCAAATGAGTACCTGGTGCGGTGTGTACTAAAACATCGGCCCTGAGGAGACAAACGTGGCCTGGCGTGGTGCTGGTCACCCACCCTGTCGTGTGCCGTTTCGGCACTTGCCCCAACGGTATGCTAATACTACACGGGGGATCTTTGTCATTGTTAAATGCCAAAGCTCTAGAGCAACTTGCGAACAACACTGCCTTAAATAAAAAAAAAAATACAATACAATTCAAATCGACGACGTTTCACACAATGACCCTTCTTCATGGCACACGTGCGTGATAGCGAGCGGTAAGGCAGCAGCTCGCTGCTCCACGGTCCAGAACCACCCGGGTTCGACTCCCGGTCACACACAACGTCAGTCATGTGACCACTTTGCACCATCTCTTTTTGTTACTTCGTCTTGGGCGAGTGAAAATTTCCGTCCCAAAATACAATCAGCACCCAGTGTCCTGTTCGGGCTCTTGTCCACAACACTCCCGCCGTGCTCTGTTTCACGGACGTCTGTGAAAGAGAGCATCGTAGCTCATCGGATTCCTCCTGTATGAATAAATGTTCTGACTGTGATTTTACTAGCTCAGTAAGGCAACTCGTCGCAATCATTCTACACGCCGGCTGTGCTCGTGTGCTCGTGTGCGCGTGTGTATGGGGGGACAAAGGCGGCCCAGTCTGGTTCCATGGCGGGCTTCATAGGTGCTACTCGCTAACAGCACTTGCCCCAAAAGTATTGTTAAGGCTAGACGGGGGGGTGGGGGGATTTTGTCTTTGTATGGGGGAGCGGCAGTGCCCGCGCGCGCCACGGAACCCGGCCACCAGAGTTCGATCCCGGCGGCGATTTATCTGAAGCGGTCCTGGGCCTCCGCTAGGTCGACTCAGCCTCAAATGTGAGCACCTTGGTGCTGCGTGTAAACATCGTCACTGGAGAGACAAAGGCGGGCGGGCGGGCGGTCAGTCGATCGGGCTGTGGTTGCTGCACGCTCACCAGCACTTGCCCCAAATGTCCATTGAGGCTACACCCGGGGGGGCTGGGTGGGGATATTTGTCTTTGTGTGTGTGTGTGTTTTTGGGAAGGCCACGAGGAGGTTTTATGAGCGAGCTCTACCGTGCGACAAGCAAAGCGACGCTGGGCTCTTCTCTCGCTCCGCGTTCACCAATCCGGGGGGTTGTAGGTGGAGGAGGAGAGGGGGGCGGTGGAAGATGCGGGGGGAGGAGGGGGGTGTTGGAGGAGGGGGGGGTGGAGGAGGGGGAGGTGTTTGGCTGCACCGGCAAAAAAATCGCGGTTTTTCACCCGACGCTCTTTGAAGCTCCCGTTTTAAATATTAATCCCGAGCAAGCACCGGTAGCCGCCTGTTCTTTGTGAGTGGGTGAACGGGAGGGAGTGGAGTTTGGGTCGGGGGGGAGTTTCTTTCTTTTTTTTATGGCCCGGTGGCTAAATATTTGTCCGCATGACTCTTACCTTGCTCGCTGATGGATTTTATGACAACGTTACAAGACTCGGCTCGGAAGGGCAATGGGTGTGCGCCGTGGCAGTAAAAAAACAAACAAAAAAGACTTCTCCAACTTCTTGTTATTCTCCTCCTACTTCTCCTCCTTCCTGTTCTTGGGTTTATGATTGATTGCATTTTATGATTTCAGACGCAGCGGCGTGGCCCCGAGATCACCTCGGCAAGGGAGGGAGGCGGGGTGAGGAGTCGCTTAACCGTCCGTCGTGTTTGGAGTCGATTTTAATTGACCGTAAATCGTCACGCTACTGTTTGGGCGTCCTCGGTCAAGCGATGCTAAATACCTGTGGAAGAAAGCAACGATCGGTGTCATAATCATCATCGTAATTATCAACATAATTGTCATCGTAATCGTCATCATACGCGTCATTATAAGCATCATCATCGTCATAATCGTCATGTTAATCATCATCATAATCGTCATCATAATCGTCATCAGCATGCGAGTGCGCTATCAACGTAACGACTGCGCGTAATTCTCGTCCGGGCTGTTCATCATCGCCGCCATCGTCGTACAGACACACTTATTCTGCATTTATCACGATTGCACGTGCGCTACTATTAGTTACACATCATCATCACCACTACCACCACCACCACGATGATTTCACATCGCCACCGTCATTAATGTCCGTGCGCAATATTACAAAACTCATCGCAAAGTGCAACCGTCTCCAGTAAGCAAGTGGCGCCGATGTGCTTTACAAACAAACAACAACCCCAGCAGAAAACAACACTCAGATACATTTTCATTCCGAGCACCGCCAGAAGTTTCAATCGAAACGAAACAACAATGATAATACAACAACAACAACAATGATGATGATGATGATAAGAAACAGCATAAACGTTAACCTCAACACCGCCGGCGGTAACGCGCGCGTGAACGCAAAGTGTCCCCGAGCGCGTCGATTCACCGATGAACGTTCGCGTGAACTCCTCACCTCGCCTTCGTTCCGGCATCCGTGGGATGGAAGTCCGCTGTAAAAAGCAAAACCCCCGCGTATAAACGTTTCGCCTTTGCCCTCTGCCGGAGGCGGAACTCGGTGAGGGTGTTTTTCTCTCTCTCTCTCCCTCTCTGTGTGTGTTCTGTCGCTTTACTGATCTGCGTGACCCATTCCGTCCTATCTCGGCTCAGGTGTGTGCGTGCGTGCGTGCGCGCGCGCGTGCGCAAAGCTGCGGTGACTGTCCTTGACATTTGCTTCCATCTCGGAGTAGGTAACTCGCCGCCGCCGTTATATTCGCTCTTTGAAGTCGTGCCAGGTCGTAAAAAAAAAAACTCGCTCGGCAATTTTGAAAGAGATCTCAGCGCCGGCGGTGGGAATGAAGGTTCCTGCAAATTGCGCTCAGTGACGAATTGCCCCCGTTGCTAGACTTTTAGTCGGACGCGGTGTTTGCTCTGCGCGTCACTCTCTCGGTTTCGAGTCAATTTTTGACCAGACCCGGGGCGAGCGGCATCTCTCCCCGCGACGCGTGTCGATAGGGGCGGCCGCGAAGTGAGCCTCAACTACTCCGTGGCGGAGCCGCACCGCGACTTACGCACCACCAACTCCGGGAGGAGGAGGGAGAGGAAGCAGAGGAGAAGCTCGTGGAGTGCTTAGGGGTATTTATTTTTTAAGCATTACCAGAAAAGAGAAAGAAAACAACAAAACCCTTGCGTTCGCGCGCGGGGAGCCCTCCGTTCGCAAGTCACGGACACGGCGAGGTGAGTAGCGTCTCGCTGTGCGCGGCAGTACGAGTGAATGGATCAGGACTACAAAGGCTCAGAGACCCCTGGTGAGAAGGTAGGGCTGCTTCAGGATCCCGCCCGACCTCCCATGGGGATGGTCTTCCACGGGAACCTGAGCTTCCCCGGGCCGGGCTCCATGCAGCCGATCTTCGGCGCGCGCTCCTATCCGCTCCACGCCGACCAAGTTTCGATGCCGACTACGCCATCGGCCCTCGACCGCGACTCCCCGACGCTCGATCCCCTGCGCTACATTCCACAATCGCTGAGCGGCCACGGAGGATCCGATCAGCAGGCCTCTCTGCCGGTCTCACTGCCGACCTCGGTGCCGGCGCTGATGGCTGGCAGGCACCAGCAGCACCTGCACAACCCGCATCACCACCACCACCACCACCCCCCCCATCCCCACCCCGTCGGCACCGCGTCCTCGGCCTATCAGTACCAGCGCTCGCCCGCTGAGTGCCAGGTCACCGCGTCCCCGCTCTACCCGACGTGGGCGCAGATGGACTACCAGAGGGCCGCCGTGCTCGGTGGCCCGGCAGACGGTGGCCTCTCCGACCAGAGGATGGGCCACTATGGCCACCACCATCACCATCACGCGGCGCCTTACTACAGTCCGCCCTACAGCAGCGGAGCGCTCAACCACGGTCTCGCCAACATGTCCTCGGCGCTCGGTGAGTGTCCGAGCACCCGGACGTGCGTTCAAAACTGAAATTATTTGCGTCACGTATGGAGGGGTCGCAGGACTCTCGTTTGTCAAGAGGGTCTTGCTGCTGCATCGCAGGGTTTTTTTTTAAATGTTTTATAAAAAAAACATGTTTCAGTCGATGAATGATTGTTGTTTATTATTACAAGTGGGGAGGAAAACGGAGCAGACGGAGAAAACCCCACGCCTGCGCGAGGTAGCAAAAACACTCGGTCCCCGTACAGATATAAACCGATGGCGATTAGTCCACTTGATGCACCGCCTTCTGTTGGCGAGCCCAGGGGTACGGCACCTCCTCGACGCCCACGGGTAGCAGAAAGGGAGTTTCACAGCAACATCTGTGTTGCCTCCACGGTGCTAAGGATTGATCACAGGGGCAGCCACGTGCAGAACTAAACACACCACTGCCCGGCTAAGCTTTGGCTGAAACAGCTGGCGATTACCGAGTGCAGTGGCATGCGCCTGTGTGAGACAGCGCCTTGGAGACAGCGATTGGTGGATCACGTAGACATTCGTGAATCTCCCACCGGCCTAATGAGATGGCCGTGACAGCGGTGGCGTTATCTTCTGGTTTTGGTGGTTTAGTTGTTTTTCTCCGGGAACTCCGGTGTCTTACCCACAGCAAGTAGCACGCTCAGTAATCTAATTGGCCACATGGAGCTGTGTAGTTTAGTGGGCCTTGCCTGATACTATGAAGCAAAACATAATTCATATTTTTTTGATATATTGATGCACGACTCCCCATAGGAAGCGTCTTGATACAGGGGGAGGGGGTGGTGTGTATTACCCCTGTGTAAATATTTGTCGCTCTCTCTTGATTTGAATAAAAAAAATAAAACCAATAATAAGCGAATGCTTCTGCGTGGCAAAGGCGAGCAACCACGTTGTTTTTGAAAGCTTATCGCAATTGCTGCCATGAACACAACTGCAATGTGCCGTATTGTCATTTAAACGTGAGCAAGATTATCGTTTCGGCAAATTTGTCTTCATCTCATTCAAAACGGACAATTCTGTAGACGCGAAGTTACATCTATATCTCTTTTCTCTTAGGAGTACATAAACAAATCTAGGCGTTCGTCAACAGCACCGTGACCTTAATAGGACAACGACAAAACCAATGTAAGAGAGCGATGCTTCAGAGAATAGGTCTCCTTTGACATGAAGTACAATTAAAAGAGGGCCATTGCTCGAATCGTCAGCTGTTGTCATTTTTGTCTTTCCTTTTAAGGCCACACAGTGTTATTGACCAATGATGGAGCGTGATTTTTGTGGATACACGAGCCAACGAGGAGAGCACGCCAACTACAAATATACAGCAGCAGGCGTCAGGGTTCGGGATCGAACCCACAAACTCCTGTATACCCGGCGAGGTAGTTGACATCTCGCCAACGTGGCGGCTGTTATATATTATTGTTATTATATTGTTTGTGCTCGTGTACCACTGACAACGCAGCAGCAACAGCAGCAGCATCACCGAATCATCCGTTCAGAATAAGGATCCTTGTCCGAAACGTTGGTCGAGACATAGTCTCTAAAGTGTTTTACTTCTGTTCTTCGGCAGTGCTCGTGCCAATTGCGGCTACTTTATTATGACGTGTACCAACAAACGTCACGAACTAAACGAGGTCAAATGTACTTATAAAAGCCGGGATTCATATTTTAACCATGAACAAAGAATACGTTAGTAATTATCATAAGCCTTATATATAGGCCTATATCCTGTGCAAGTAAGTCGATCTTACGTGCAATAGTATTTGAAATATCAACAGAACAATGTCTCAGTGTAAATGCTGGACGGGTTTTTACAGTTTTAAGATACTTCAACACGTCTGAACATTAATTACTGAGCACTTTAACGAGATCAGTCCATCACAACTGCAGCTCATCCTCGTATGTACATATATACATACAACTAATTACACTTTAAAACTTAGATTTTAACTAAGAGCTGGCAAGTGAGCGGAAACGTCGAGATTGTATTTCCCTCTCATCACCAGATAAAAAAAAAATATACTATTTGTTTTGCCTTAACCTGTTGATCTATCGTCTAAGTGCACTAAAGCAGCGACTGTTTTTAGAGATATAAGCCACTATTGTGCCGCTATTTACCCTGAGTAACTTTGCAGAGGGTCTCAGGCGGGCCCGGGCACAATGATGACCCTTAACTCTCCGTGCCATCTGCGACGATACGAGTCACGAACATGATCTGCTATTAAGTGGCGGCGTCTCACTACGCGACGGCAGGCGTCTGTGGCTCACGCACATTGAAGAGGTCATTTTGAGCGTCCCGAAAAAAAAACACGAAAAACAAACGTATTCTTTGGGTCTTTCGGTAAAGTCACGGAGATAGGTTCAAAGAAAATAACAAAAATGACGTAAAAATATTAAAACTACGAGTAGTTTTTTTTTTATATTAACGCGAGCTAACCCAAAACTCCGAGTAGTTTTTTTGTTTGTTATTTTTGTTATTTTCTTTGAACCTATATCTACGTGATTTTAGCGAAAGACCCAAAGAATATGAATTCCTGCAGTCACGAAAGCTTTAAGTCAAGATTTTGAAAACAAACGTGTTATGGATTTGTGCTAGATACTTCGCTGTGGGTCAGGGATCGTGGAAGGTGCTTAGGACCGAACGATGGAGCCCCCAGGCAAAGGACACGAGACTATTTAAAACTATTAAAACTATATTCATAGTACAATGTGTTTTGGGTTAGCTCGCGTAAATATAAACGTGTCGTTAAACCCGCCACCACCCGACACAGCCAATCAGTGAGGCTTTTGTCACGTAAACAAAACGTGCCAATTGGTTACAACTTCAGCGCACAGGTGTTGGGCGTTGGAGAGTAAGTCCACAACATTTTAAAATCGAGTACGACGTTACGCCGGTGATTACAACCATCTTCATCATGCGAATTGTGCCACAATTCTAATTGCGCCGGAGAAAATAATTTAAAATGTTACCACCAGCTAAAGCCGACTGAGCTCTATAGCCCGTTTTTCAGAAGTGATCTGCCCACAAATGATAGCTTAGCGAAGTGGCGTATCACGTGGCAATGTATAGTAGCTAAATACTCTGAACGCGTGATGTTGATTCTAAATGTGGAGAGAGAAACCCCAGAGCACCCGGAGAAAAATCCACACGATCACGGGGAGAGAGGCAGACATCAAATCTCCAAACATGCAACAGGCGTCACAGGGTCGGGATCGAGCCCATGACCTTGCATATCACGCGAGGTAGTTAACGTTTCGCCACCACGGCGCCCAATGCATGAGAACAAAAATCCACCGGGGAGATGGAGCGATGAAATCCGATGGCAGGTGCTCGTAGGTGGATTTGTTTACCATCGCAAACGCTTCGTGAGAGATGGCGAATGTTTTGGAGGGCGCGGGTGCGGGGTAGGGGGGAGGCATTCATCAAGCAGTGTATTGATCATAGCAGATGATGATAATGATGATGACGACGGACTCTCAAAGCCGTCCCCTAGGGTTACGGCGAATCGGGGCGATTGCCCCGGGCCCCGTGCTTTGGGGGGGGGGCACCCAGTGTCAAATGCGATACTTCTGGTTAAGTTTGAAGGCGTTGGGGGGGGGCGAGCCCTGTGCCCCCCTCCCCACCACCTCTGCTTAATGTTTACTAAATTGGCTTTCGATAACCCTCTCCCCGCTTCTTACAAAACACCATTGCCGTACCTCGGTGGTAATTGACGGGGAGATGGAAAACCCCTCCAGTTCGACGATGCCGTCGGCAGCTATAGTAGTCGTACAGCTTGTTCACACAATTCTTAGTTTGTAATAAGACACGCGCGCTGTGCGTACTAGCGCACGGCGCACGCTCCGATTGGCACGGTTGGCTATGTACGGTGCGAAAGAAGTTCAAACATGCATACGTACTATGCTCTGCCTCCCTAAATACTATCGTGATTAATTGATTGATTTAAATACGTATTAATTAAGTAGGTTATGCAACCATGCAAGTTCAGTAAGAGCACTGGTTACGCATTTTTTACATTTGCTGCCTCTCTGGCCCATCTCATTTACCTGCTGTGAATGAGGGTCATCGCCCGAAACTTTGTGCATGATATACTTTTCCATTTTTTGAGGCCACTGTGTTATTGACGAATGTGCCGAGTTTTTGTTGTTGTCTAATAATTGTGCTTATGCACGAAAGCCAATGCAGCAGCAGCAGCATTATCACCAAATAATTTGTTTAATAAATACAGCGGTTTTGTGTTCAACTTGAAACAAAACCAATATACATAAACCTTTTTTTTATTATTATTACTACTTATAACATTTTATTACAATTATATTTGTCCAATAAATACTCTTTGGTTCTTTCGGTAAAGTCACGTGGCTATAAAATAAATAACCACGTTTCGAGCGCAACACAAGCGTCCGCTTTCCCACCTGATGACGGACGCTTGTGTTGCGCCCGAAACGTCGTGATTTATTTTATTTATATCTACGTGACTTTATCGAAAGAACCAAAGGGGTTGGATTACTGCAGTCACGAAAGCTTCAAATCTAGATTGTCCAATAAATGTTCAGAGACCCGTATTATCCCCAAGAGTCGCTTCTCCCATTCACAACAACACTCTGGGCGTTACCCTGGCAGTCTGCAGCTGGGCATGGCTGGGTGATGAGCTCTAATTAATACGAATACCATCTTGGCCCTGCTGGGCAGTATCTATCTGGGCATGGCTGGGTGATGAGCCCTAATTAATACGAATACCATCTTGGCCCTGGTGGGCAGTATCTATCTGGACATCACTGGGTTGATGAGCTATAATTAATATGAATACCATCTTGGCCATGGTGGGCAGTATCTATCTGGACATGACTGCGTGATGAGCTCTAATTAATACGAATACCATATTGGCCCTGGTAGGCAGTATCTATCTGGACATGGCTGCGTGATGAGCTCTAATTAATACGAATACCATCTTGGCCCTGATGGGCAGTATCTAT